CCGCAGAGGCCCAGGCGGCGGCAGGAAGCAGGCCTGGGCGGGGGTGGGGGGGTGGGGGTCTTGCTGCAGCAGCAAGCAGCTCTCTGGTTGTGTAGAGCAAGGTCCAGCTAAACTGTGGGTTCAGATGCAAAATCACCCACTTCCTCTTTGTGTGACCTTGAGCAAGTTACAGCAGACAATCGGCATGACCCAATTTTGTTGAAAAACCAGTGTGTTAAGTCTAGAGAGAAAATCGTCCTCTTATTCACAATAGTTATCTTGGTGGCATGTTTACAGAGGGTTTAGAATTTTGTGTGTATGTGGTTTTCAATTTTTTCCAACATTTTCTTTAAACAGCATGGATTACTTGGATCATCGGAAAACAAAAACAATCAACAAATAACCACAAAGACATCCCTACTTTGGAAATGAACAGATTTGGGGAACTGAGATCCACATAACTGAAGGGAGGGACAGTACGTTGCAACCCTCAGGCCACTCCACGTAAGGGAAGGGTTCCTGGCCCCCTGACTGCCCACAGTTCTGTTGTGAGCCAAGTCGGAGTTAGGCCTGTGCTGCCCACAGGTGCTGCACACACGGGCCTGATGGTCAGGGCCTGGCTGGCTTGTCCACTTGGTAGCTACTTCTGTGACAGCAGGAGAGATGGGGGTTCACTTCCCACTGTCAGCTGCTCAGCAGCCCCATCTCTGCCCTATGAGGTGCTCTTCTGGGTGCTGCCTCCTGCAAGGAGCTTTTACTGACCTGTCTGCGCTCCTGTTCCTAGCCAGCCTTCCCTCTAGGGCAGAAGCGGGCAGAGCAGCTTCCCTGGGTGGCTTGCTTCCATCCTGCCTCCCCTCCCTTCTCCCCCCCCCTCTTTCCCTTTTCCCTTCCCTTTCTCCTTCTCCCTCTCTCCCTCCTTCCCTTACTTTCTTTTTTTTTTTTTTTTTATGGTGAAAAAACATATATTTAGAATTAGCCAGCTGGACTCCGTTCAGATGATCCCAATTTTGTTGGCAACGTCCAGAGCATCATAGTCCGGAGCCAGCCGCACATACGCCTTCTTCTCTCCGTCAGGTCTGATCAGGGTGTTGACTTTGGCCACATCAATGTCATAGAGTTTCTTCACAGCTTGTTTGATCTGGTGCTTGTTGGCCTTGACATCCACAATGAACACCAGTGTGTTGTTGTCTTCTATCTTCTTCATGGCCGACTCCGTGGTCAGGGGGAACTTGATGATGGCATAGTGGTCAAGCTTGTTTCTCCTGGGGGCGCTCTTCCGAGGGTATTTGGGCTGCCGTCGGAGGCGTAGCGTCTTGGGCCGCCGGAAGGTGGGGGACGTGCGGATCTTCTTCTTCTTGTGGCTGTGGACGCCTTTCAGCACTGCCTTCTTGGCCTTCAAGGCCTTCGCTTTGGCTTCGACTTTAGGAGGGGCAGGAGCTTCCTTCTTCGCCTTCGGCGCCATCTTGGTCCCTTACTTTCTTCCAAAACTTATTTTATTTATTTGAAAGGCAGAGTGACAGAGAGAGAGGGAGAGACAGAGAGACTGAACTTCAGATCTTCCATCTGCTGGTTCATTCCCCAAATGGTCACAAGGGCCAGAGTTGTGCTAGTCTGAAACTAGGGGCCTGGAGCTCCATCAGGGTCTCCCACATGCATGGCAGGGCCCCAAACCACTTGGGCCATCCTCTGCTGCTTTCTCAGGTGCATTAGCAGAGAGCTGGATCAGAAGTAGAGCAGCCAGGACTTGAATCAATGTCCTCTTCGGGATGTCAGCGTGCAACATGGTCTTTTTTTTTTTTTTTTTTGACAGGTAGAGTGGACAGTGAGAGAGAGAGCGACAGAGAGAAAGGTCTTCCTTTGCCGTTGGTTCACCCTCCAATGGCCGCCGCGGCCAGCGCGCTGAGGGAGCCCTGCGCTGCTCCGAAGGCAGGAGCCAGGTGCTTATCCTGGTCTCCCACTGGGTACAGGGCCCAAGCACTTGGGCCATCCTCCACTGCACTCCCTGGCCACAGCAGAGAGCTGGCCTGGAAGAGGGGCAACCGGGACAGAACCCGGCGCCCCAACCAGGATTAGAACCCGGTGTGCCGGCACCGCAAGGTGGAGGATTAGCCTATTGAGCCGTGGCGCCGGCCCAACATGGTCTTCCACATATGCTGTCTTCTTCCACTGTGGTCTGTTTATTGTTAGTGTTTTGAAGTATCCCATATGAAAGACAAAGTGCATGGCTCCAAAGTGTATGGTTTAAGGATTGTTTACACACCTATGCCCACAAAACCACCACTCAAATCAAGACCCAGAGAGGCCCCAGTGTTTTCCCCCAGTTGGTAACCCTATCCCACCCCCACCGTGTACCACTCTCATGATCCGTCACCACTGTAGATTAGTTTTATCTGCTTTTGAGCTTTTTATATATGAACTTTTGTGTCTGCCTTCTTTCACTTATCTTTTTATGTGCATCATCCTTCTATTGCTATTTAACAATTCACCCCAAAATTTCATGGTTTAAAACAATGATTTTGCTTACTGATCTTCAATTTAAGGCCTCAAGGGGCTGGTTTCTGTCTGCTCCCTGTGGCACTGGCTGCGGTCGTGTGACTGGGTGGGGACTGGAAGGTCCACTCACAATGGCTCGGTTGCACGGTGGGCTGGATGGTGCCGGCTGTCAGCTGGTGCCCTGGCTTTGGCTGTGGGCCGGGGCCTCGGTTCCTGTGCACATGGATTTTCCTGAGCCTCTTGGGCTTCCTGACAGCATGGTGGCTGGGTCCCAAGGGAGGGGCCATCCGAGAACAAGGAGGAAGTGCAAGATGTCTGAATGATCTAGCCCCAGAGGTCTTCTTGGAATCAAGGGGAGGGGTATAGACTACCTTAGACAGAGATGGGGGAAGATTCTAGAAGAGCATGACAGACAAGAATATTGGGATGCCCAAGTTTGGAAAAGATTCTGCCACATTATTTCTGTGAGATTCATCCATGTTGTAACATGTATTCGGTTTCCCTTTTTAAAAAACATTTATTTATTTGAAAGGCAGAATTAGAGAAAGGGAGTCATGCACACACACTCAGGGGGTAGGGAGAGGGAGGGAGGGAGGGGTCGGTCTTCCATCTGCTGGTTCTCTCCTAAATGGCCACAATGACCAGGGCTGGGCCAGGAGCATCTTCTTGGACCATCATTTTTTGTTTTCTCAGGCCCATTAGCAGGAGGCTGGATTGGAAGTGGAGCATCCTAGATTCAAACCAGTGCCCATATGGGATGCTGGCACTACAGGCAGTAGCTTTACCCACTACATCACAGTGCTGGCCCCTTCAGTTTCCTTTTTTTGCTATATAATATCCCCTTGTATGGATATACTACAATTTACTTTTCATTTTGCTATTGAATTATTTGCAACTTGGAGCTATCTAAATAATGCTCCAATGAGTATTAAATATTCTTACAGAAATCTTTTTTTAAATTTTTTTTATTTGAGAGGCAGAGAGAGCAAGTATAAGCTCTCATCTACTGGCTCACTCCCCTAAATGTCTACAATGGCCAGGACTGGTCTGAGCCAGAGCCAGGGACTCAATTCAAGTCTCTCATGTTGGTGGCAGCAACCTGAATCCTTGAGCTATCGCCTGCTGCCTCCCTGGGTCTGCACTGGCAGGAAGCTGAACTCAAGCTGGAGCTGGGAATTGAACCTAGGTACTCTGGTGTGGGATGTGGGCATCTTAACACTAGGCTAAAAGCCCACACCTTCTGCAGCTTTTAAGGTCTTAAAATCATATTCTATCCTCCCCTCCAACCCCCCATCAATTACTGTAGTTGTTGGCACTTTAGGGGGTAAATATCTGCCAGTGTTGTTAAAATGTTGAAATTCTGTGAGTACCGCTGGCCTTCCATACCCATGAGTTTCATAGCCATAGATTTAACCAGTTGTGGATCAAGAATATTTTTAAAAATTGCATTTATACTGAATGTGTACAGATTCTTTTGGGGCCTTATTCGCTAAGCAATGTGGAGTAACAGCCATTTACCTGGCGTCCGGCCGTAGAAAGTGCTCACAAGCAATCCAGACGTGACTGAGAGTGTGTGGGATATGCAGATGCTGCCCTGTCGTGGGAGGTTTCTGAGCATCCTAGGATTTTAGTGTGGGAACCACACTCCCGCAGATTCTGAGGGGAGACTACCTTACATAAATATATTATTTTATTTATCTGAAAGAATTACAGAGAAGCAAAGAGAGAGAGAGAGAGAGAGAGAGGTCTTCCATCCACTGGTTCACTCCACAGATGGCCACAATGGCTAGAGCTGTGCCGATCCAAAGCCAGGAGCCAGGAGCTTCTCCCGGGTCTCCCACGTGGGTCCAGGGGCCCTAGCACTTGGGCCATTTTCTACTGCCTTCCCAGGCAATATCAGAGATCTGGATGGGAAGTAGAACAACTGGGACTCAAGCCAGTGCCCATATGGGATGCCTGCACTGCAGGTGGTGGCTTTATCCACTATGCCACGGCACTGGCCCTATAAATATATTCTTATAAAAACCTTCGGCTATTACAATGAAAATGAAAGTTCCTTCTGATGTCCCTCAAGGCTGGACCCTTTCTTCCTCCCCCAAGGTAATTCCTGCCACCATTTGGTGGGATTCTTTCTAAGGCTTTTTTTTTTTTTAATGCTTTATACACACATGAATAGTCTTATGGAAAATGGTGTGTGTGTATGTGTGTGTGTGGCACAGCAAGCAACATCATGCTGCTTGGCGATTTGCTTACTCAACAAAATGTCTTAGAGACGGGCAGAGCGATGACGTGGGGCCCCACTTCACTTTTTAACTGCTGAAGGATGTTCCCCAGTGTCACGATGCCACCCTTGCTTGGCTGCTGCCCTGTGGTGGGACGGCGGATGCTTCCTGTTTCGTGAGGCTCCGGGCACTCGGCACTGGTCCTCGTGCACACTGTCAGTACCGGACTGACACTGATGGGACCCCTGGAGCGATTTGCCGGAGCCCTGCATCTGCACCCCTCACCGTCTCTTCCTTCCTCTGCAGAGACGACTCAGAGAGGCCGTGCAGCTGCTGGAGGACTACAAGCACGGCACCCTGCGCCCCGGGGTCACCAACGAGCAGGTAACCGTTGGAGGTGGGGCTGAGGCGTGGGGAGGAGAGGGCAGGGGGTGAACTCACAGCCCCTCCTTGCAAGCAGAACCACCGCTCTTTCTTGCAGTGGCTGCACTGACTGTGGCCACAAACCCCCGTGGACTCCTGGTCTCTCTCGTGGCCTGAACAGACCAGAGAGGCCCACAGCTTGGCTGGAGTGGCTTGCCCTGGCTTGCAGGGCTGATGGTGTGCATCTTGTCCCAATTCTACATTCAGCGGCATTTCAGTGGCAGCTAGGAACCGGCCATGATGGGGACATTTGCACCACGGAAATTAGCAAACGCCACAGAGCAGGGCTTCTGCTCCAGGAAACTGGTGATTGAACGTCAGCCAGCACATCGTGCCCCCTGAACTCAGGTTGAGGGTGGGAAGGCGGAGGCGGTCTAGGCCAGGGCACTATGAAATCTTATTTTGATGTCATGGAGGGACTTGCATCAGAGCTGCCCGAAATGTTGATGCGTGTATTTGATTTTGGAGAATGGTGGGGGATGTGGTACAGGACGACCTCAAGGTTCACAGGGCCTGATGGGTAATGTGCCGAAGTTTTTCTTTTGTTCATAAACGTCAGTTAAAAACTTTTTAAAAAATCGGCTTCTGATTTTTCCAGAGTAATATATGTGCGTAGTTCAACAAGTCAGGCAGCACTGAGATGTGGGTAAGGAAGCTAGTGTGCTGCCCCGCCCGTTCCTCCCCAGTTGCCATTCCTGCTCCCCAGAAGCAGCTACGTTGGCTATTCTTCAGGTAGAAATCTCCATTTCCAACAAACAGACTTATCTACACTGCTGTTTCTCAATTTGTTCTTTTTTTACAAATAAATCATTTTCCTTTTTTTATTTGAAAGAGAGAAGGAGGGAAGGAGAGAGGAGAGAGAGAGAAGGGAAAAGAGGGTAAGGAAGGGAAGGGGAGGGAGGGAGGGAGGGAGGTCTTTCCTCTGCTATTTTTTTTCCTCTAATGTCTGCAACAGTCAGGGCTGGACCACGCTGAAGCCAGGAGCCAGATCTCAGTCTGGGTTTCACGTGAGTGGGAGGAACCCCACTACTTGAGCCATCACCTGGTGCTTCCTAGAGGTGCATCAGCTGGAGGCTGGATTGGAAACAGAGTAGCTGGGACTCAAGTCAGGCACACCCACAAGGGATGCAGAGTCCCAGGTGGCAACTTAGCTGCCCTGCCAAAAGCCCACCCCTCTCAGTTAGTCTTCTGCATTGTCTATTGTGGTAGCTGAGGATTCACCTCTATTATCAGCCACGTCTATGAACACTTCTCTTCCCCGTCTGCCTCCAAAAATAGCTACCATGGGTTTGGGGCCTATACATATTCAATATTCATGTTAGTAAAATTATATAAATGACATTTATTGTATAGCCGTGTTGGCTGTGTTGTGACTATGTTTTTTTTCCGACTTTATGTTTTAACTGGATTTAATACTGCCCTGTGTTTTCACTGCCTCGTGTTGGCATAGTTTCCTCTGTACCAGCTCCACTCTTCAAGCACCCTTCGGCTGCCTTCCCTTGTTTTCAGTGCCCACTTTCAACCTGAAGACTCTCGTCTAATCTTCCACTTCCATTTTTTTCCCTCCTGAAATTTTCTTCTCTGGGACTCACCTCCCACCAGCTCAAGTCTTGCTTTTGCTTGGTATAGACTACAGTTTTGGTGAAACGCCTCTTCCAGTATCTTCATGTGAAAGAGAAGAGAGCTTGAGTCTTTATGTCTGAGGAATCATATTTCTGCGCTCAACCTTACCTGGCAGATTGGCTGAGGGGACAACCCGAGGCTGACAGTTATTTCTCTGCGGTGTTTTGAAAGCCGCTGGTCTATAACCCATTAAACAATCTGATGCCTTTGCATTCCTGATTCTTTGCAAGTGGCCTCTTCCTTTAGAAATGCTTAGTCTTCTCCTTAGCTATGCAATTTCTTTTTCTTCCTCCGTCCCTCCGTCCCTCTGTCCCTCTGTCCCTCCGTCCCTCCTTCTTCTTCCCTTCCCCCTTCTCCTCCTTCTTTTTAAGAGATTTATTTATTTATGTGAAAGGCAAAATTACAGAGAGTGAGGGAACTATCCACTGGATCACTCTTAAAATGGCTGCAACGGCCAGGGCTGGGCCAGGCTGAAGCCAGGAGCCAGGAGCTTCATCTGGGTCTCCCCTGTGGATGGCAGGGACCCAAGTACTTGGGCCGGCTCTGCTGCCTTCCCAGCCACATTAACAGGGAGTTGGATCAGAAGTGGAGCAGCCAGAACATGAACTGGTGCCCATGTAGGATGCTGGGCTCAGAGGTGGCAGCTTAACTTGCTATGCTACAATGCCATCCCTGAATTTATTTCTGAGATTCCACAGTGCTGTCCTTGCTAAAACTCATTGTTTTGGATTCTTGGCGACTTCTTTGTATTTGAAGACTCTTGTCTTTCAATTCTGGCAGTTTTTTTTTTTTTTTTAATATCCTGTTTATTGGAGAACTTCTTCTCATTCCAGACCTCCTATTAGTCCCATATTGGCCATCTGAGGCTGTCACACTCAGGTTTTGTGATCTTTTCTCTCCTATGCCATCACTGCAGGACAGCGTGGAAGCCGGGTGAAGCTCTGGCCTCGTGGACCCTGCGTGAGCCAGGCAATGGTACTAGAGATATACGACGCTGTAGGAGAGCAGTGGAGAGGGCACCAGCTCAGATGCTGCGTGTCTGGAAGAGATTTTTCCCCTGATATTTGAGGGCTGAGGAGTGAGCTGGTGAGGAGGGGGCTCTGGGAAGCAGTGGTCCAGACCAGGAAGACCACTGTGCTGGAAGTAGAGAGAGCAAACCTTGCAAATGAATCAAATGAGGCAGACAGACTGGACAAGGTGAAAGAAGGCATGGTGCCAGGGTGGGTGCAGCTCCTCAGCCAGCGCCCTTGTACAGAGACCGGGGGAGGGATGGCCGGGGGCACCACCCGTGATGCAGGGTCCATCTGGAGGTGGGAGCGCTGTGTGCTGAGTCCTGGCAGCCATCTGTGGGCAGGGCAGGTGCTGGCGCCTCCCTCCTGAGCAGCGTGCTTCTCTCTGCCCTTGGGCACACAAGAGCCTGGAAGGCGGGACTGATACCCTGCTCCCCCAGGCTGGAGTACTCTTCAGACCCTCTCACATCTGTCAGGGCTGGGTCCAGCCCTAGGCCCTCCCTGACCCTGACAGTGTCCACTCCCAGCCCCAGCTCCCGCTGAGCTCAGCCTCTGGGGACCTTTGCCAGCTCCCTGGGGAATGAGGCCACATTTCCTGTCTTTTCCCTTTCAGGAGCTTCAGGCTGCCTGTCCTGATTCCCGGGCCGCCTTTGTTTTCTACTCTGAAAACCCCCTGTGCTTGCAGGGATCGAGGGAGGAGGGGGTGAGGGCTGGCACTAGCCGGGCGTCCCAGTTCTGGCTGGGTGGGTGATGCCTGTGTGTCCATCTGGTGGCTGGGTAGCACAGTGCTAGGTGTGAGCCGGCCACTATGGCCCTCTGGATGCAGATCCGCCCACCGCCTGCCTCCCTTGCCCAGCCTGCTGGCGGCCTGTGCGTTCCCGCATTGGCTCTCACAACCTGCCCTCCGACGTCTCCATCAGCAAAGTCGCTCAACCCATGACCTCCGCGCTGCAGACGCGGGAACAGGGGATGGTGACCGCACGGGGACCTCGGGCTCGCGGAAGCCTCAGCCATCTGGAATCAAAGCCAGTCCCTCTTACTGGCCCCAGCTGGCTCTGCTGCAGGGCCATGGCTGTACCATCTGACAAGACCCGGGCTGGCTCTTGGTCTCAGTCTGGAAGGGGCCTTGTCCGCAGCCTGGCTCTGTGTCTGCTCTGACGTCTTCCTGTGGGCGTGTGGATCAGCAGCCCATCGCCGGGGCTCCTTGCCTGTGGGCCTGTCCTGCACTGTGGACAGCGCTGAGGAACTTGCACATGCTTGTCTCTATCCAGCGCACTGCCCTCCAGTACAACCCCGCCCCTGTGGGTGTGCACAGTGTGGTCATGATTTGGTCACTCCTGATGGCCTGAGTGTACCCTTTTGTTGGTGGGCGGCTCACATCTCCTCCAGAGCCCATTGCTCCACCCACAAGCAATTCATTCTGAGGATAAAATAAGGGCCATGTACCCTTTGGGCTTAGCAGGTAGAAATGTGAAGCACTAGGGCCCTAATAAGGGGCACGGCTGTCAGACAGCAAAGCCATGGCTGAGCAGAAGTTTCTGGATGTTGATTCTGATTTGTGCACTTGTGTGTGCTGAGGCTTGGCTGGAATGGTTTGGCATGGATGGAGATAGGTGGTGCTAAATATAAAAGACCCCCACCCCTCCCACCACCACCATGGTGAGTCACCACTCACTGTGTGTTTGCCAAGTATTGGACAGCCACCAAACACAGCCGGCCCTCCACCTCCGCGGGCTCTGCGTGTGTGGATTCAACCCACCCCGGACTGCGTGAGTACTGAGCATGTGCAGACTTTTCTTTTTGTCGTTGTCCCCTAAAAATTCACCAGCTATTGGCATAGCACTTACCTGGCAATGGGTATTGTGAGTAACCTAGAGGTGACTTACAGGCCGCAGCAGGATGTACGCAGGTTACAGGCAAATACTACCCCTCGTTCTGTCAGGGCTGTGAGAAGCTGAGAAGTTTGTTGTCCACAGGAACCAACCATCTGTGGATACTCAGGCACAACTGTACCAGGGCTTTGCATGGATTACCTATTTGGTAGGTACCTGTATCAACCCCATTTTGCAGCAAGAACATTGAGGCTCAGAGAGGTTACATTACTTGCCCAGGGCCACGAAGCCAGACTGTGCTAGCTGGGGAAGAGGTCTGATGCCGGGCCCGTTAGATCCAGCAGGAGGAATAGTACCTGCAAATCACCTGCAAAAACCAAGATATAAAATGGAATAGAGAGACCAATGTAGGGAGAAGGAGAGACAGAGGCAGAGACCAGGGGAAGGAGACAGATGAGATGAGATGAGATGAGAAGAGAAGTGGACGATGCAGGGG